TTCCACTTACCACTTAATGTTTTATCAACGTGTGGTGAATCCCTCGATTTAATCACCTTTTTGTCTGTTTGCTGATTGTTTTCTAACATACAGGAAATTTACGAGCGTTTCATTTCGTTTTCATTGTGAAACATAGACACACCACGAACAGAAGGACTCAGTTGGAGAGTGAATCAAAAATCTATTTATTTTGTACAGTAACTTAAAAATACAAAGCCTCTATGCAACACAAAGTACACCGTTAACACAAAAGCTTATCTGAACAGACCTGGATGCTTCTTTATTCCCCTTCGTTTGTTTCATTATTTATTGGAAGATTTGTAAATAGGTAGAAGCGAAAATCTGTTTTTCAGTAGTGTTTTATATATTACGGAACAGTGGATATTTCGCTTCTTATCCTTAAAGCTAGTTTTGTGACGTTTACATTGAAAAAGTGAACCGCTAGTAAAGAGATTTTGGCACGTTAGATCTCGCAGGTACTTTGAATGAAAAAGCTTGTATGCTTGTCAGAAGAAAATAAGTAAATGCTAAAACTGACCGGGATGCATTTGAAATTCGTAACTGCGAGAAACGGAAGAAGTTATTGCACTGAAGTCATAGCATTTTAGAAATAGTTTATTTCGTCACGTGCCGGCATATTTGCGTTACTTTTGAACGGCGGTAAGAGGTCATGAAAGGGGTTTCGTATTGACCAATTTCTGTGAGTACGTGATGTTGCATGTTACAAAAAAATGTTTCGTGTTTCACGCGACAAATAGTTTGGCCGCAAAATTTGAGATTTAGAACCGTTATATAGAAATATTCTGAAGACGTTTTGACGAAAATAATTCAGTTTGCTTTTCCAGCAATTCGTCTTTTGGGACTTTTTTATGATAGGTGGAGCTCTTGTTTCGTAGATTGCTTCAGAATTCATGTTTCAGTGAGGAAATTGACTCAATTTGTTTTCCTTTACTGGCTAGGAAAACTCATTTTCAACGTTCCATGGGCGCAAAGTATTCCGACATAAATTTGTGCTTTTAAGAGAATTTCAAAAAGCCCGAAAGTTGAACACAATTCCTATTTGAACTTGTGACATTCCATTACTAAATCACCATCAGAAGAATCTTGGAGAAAATATAGATTGCATCACGTTATCATTATAGAAGCAATTTAGATCTCTACTTCACATTGATTGTAGATTGACGTACCTAATAATAATAATAAAAAAGATTTATCACAAGAATTGTTTACGAGTTTTTTGACAGTGTTTTAAGTCAGGAGTTGAAACGATGTTCTTTATCTTTTATTCTTTACACCTGGGGCTTTTGACCCTCAAAGATCAGAACATTTGAAATCAAATTTCCTCTATCTCTCTAATGTTTTCACGCTATTCCGTCAAGTAAATCTGCGTTAACAAATTGAAAGGAAACTTTTGAGTTTTTGTGAGTGACCCCGTGGGATGACCGATCGGGAGAGACAACTGTTTTGCTTGGAACAACCGAGTTCACAGCTTTTGCCCCATTAATAAAATTTTGAAAAATGAAGAAAACATAACGCGTTCTTTTTTCCTTGTGCTGCTAAACTCTGGTGCTCCCTTCTTCCCCCCCCCCCCCTCCCTCCCCCCAATTTTCATGCATACTTTGCCGCTGTTTAATACAATGTTTGATCAAAACAACTACCCACTAGGCTCAACAAGCCATTGAAACATCAGTCAGATTTCTCAACTAACAGTTCTTTCTAAGACTAATCTCATCTAGACTATCAAATGACATGATCAAGACTTGACCCTCTCACTCCCAAGATCTCAATAGTAATTCTCCTTACTGTCTACCATACAACTCTTATGATGTTGGTTTGTAGAATTCAGTACTGGATCACCTAATCATCCTCTAATTGATATTTTTTCCTTTGTTTGATATTCTATTGAACTGTTAGAAGAAATTCTTTCTAGGTCACTCATGGAAATTAAATGGTTAACTTCTCAGTTCAAATTAATTCCATCCCTTGGACTTTTCTGTTCTGTTCCTCTCTGAGTTCCTCCAATGTCTGTCCTATCATTTCCCTCAGTTCTTGTACAAGCGGGTGATTTCCATGAGTTACTTTCAGAATGGCTTCTGCCTGCAGCAGTGACTGAAAACCATCTTTAAGTTTGTCCAAGTAGACTTGAAGTTTGCCTGAAAATCAGATTAAGACCCATTTCAAATCATCAAGGCTTTCTTAAGTCCTGAGGAAGTGAAATTCTTAATTGAAATCAGAGACAATGAAAAAAACCAAGAAGACACTGTGAGTGGAGCTCACTTTTCTTCCAGAGAGTAAAATTTGAATTTGATCATTTATGAATTGAAAGCAGCTCTGGAAGTTTTGCCTATGTGTTATCTACCATGGGCAAGGTCTGTATAATTGGATAAAATACTGTGTACTGGGGCTTGAGTAGGAACAAAGGTCTTCTTTGGGTTCAACAGGCAATATGATAGGTCTTTCATCTTTTCTTAACTGTTTATTGACCAAAGGACAGTTTTCCAAACCTTTATTGTATTATTAGGCTACATTTGTATGACACCCTCATTAAGCCGTAATGGATACAGAGAGATTTCAATTAAATCACCTACCAATTCTGAACAACTGAATGCCAACACTTGGATGATTCCTAGGATAATACAGCTTGTATGCATCCATTGTTTGAAGTCCAAAAGCTAGGGCTCTGTCCCAAAACTCCAGATTAATGCAGGCATCCATAGCTTTATCAAGAATGCCAATTCTGCTGTAATTTAATTTATGAAAGAAACATCTCTGTTCATCTAGGACATTCTCAGCAAGGTCAAGAATACTGTTATAGTCATCAGTTTTCTCCAATGCTTTTATTTCCTTTAAAGCTTCTTCAGATTTTGAGATATTTCCTTCTGCTTTGGTTACCATTGCTTTATTGGATGCTTGTTTACCACAAGTGTTGCAAGCAGCAAAGCCTCCTCCTGCAAAAAGAGCTTATGTCAGAAGAATATTTCAAATAAAAGCATAGTAGACTCTTACACAAAAGCAAGGTTAGATGACTGCACTTGACCTTAGAGGTTCACAAAGTGGTGCTTTCCAGGGTACCTACAGTTGATTTCCATATCATGAAATGAAAAGGACTATAATTGCTATCTAACTTAGGAAGTTCATTGCAGGTCTTCATCCTGTCCTCACTCCCCTCAATCAATTTTAGTTTCCCCAGAAGTTTTCTTACACCTTTTTCCTTCCAGAAGGGGCAGAGGTATTGTGATGGTATAGTGTCCTGCCCCAGAATACACCACAGTGACCCCTGCTGGGGCTCAAAATCAAACCTTTTGGTCTTGGATCCAGTGCGTTGAACACTGACCACCCTGTATGATTCAACATGCCTCACAATTCTTTTGGAAAACCCTTCTACCTGTGTGCTGGGTGATCATAAAAATTACATGCAACATGATGCAATCCTCAACCTACAGAGTGCACACATTTTAATAATCTTCTTTATAATAATGAATGGTAGCATACAGTACCTGATCACTTCAAAGGCACAAGTAAAATAAAAAAAATGGCTAGAGAAGAATATAACACAATTTATCTTGGAAAATATGAATTATCACCTGCTAAATCCCTTGGTAATGCTCCATTGCAATGAGAGTTAGAACACTGCAGGCTCAACATAAGTCCATCTTCCTCTAGTGGAGAGTTACACTTCACACAATGACAATCAAATGAATAACGACTTTTTAAGTCTTCCTTCCTCTGGTAGCTTGGGCAAAGCAGTTCTGTGTAGCTTATTGTAAGTTCATCACCTTGCTTGATATTTTCTGTTGCATGTATAAGGAGTTTTGTGCCATTGAAAACAGCAACACAGTTTGGAGCACATGAGTGGTTGAGAAGGGAAGGAATTTCATAAATACCAACACCTAGAAGAGGAGTGAAAATCGTTTCTTACCTTGTGCATTTTCAGTATAGTATATCCAAAGAGCTTGCAAATCCCCTGGTAGTTATAAGAAATATACCAGCAAGGCTTTATCAAAGCTGACTGATTGACCAAGTAACTGCCTGAATGAATGACTGATTGATTGACTGTCTAATTGATCGACTGTCTAATTGATCGACTGTCTTATTGATTGACTGTCTTATTGATTAACTGTCTAATTGTCCTACTAAAAAACTGACTGAGCAACTGACTGACTTTTGGAATGAATGACTGACTGACTGATTGACTGTCTGATTGACTGACTGAATGACCAACTAACCCAGTTGACTGACTGACCCACCCACTTATTAACTGTATGACTCATGGCAAAACCAACAATGGGAAGGATACTGTAACTGCTTCCATCAACACTGAATGTTACCGCTTCCGAGAGAAGCTGCAAAATATTTTAATGCTTTTTGGATAGAAAATCTTAGTTGGTGTTTCAGTTCAGGAAAAGACCCTATATAATTGAGATCGCTTTTGGAATAAAAAACAAGTTTATACTGTCACTCTTGATAGATTAATTAAGACTTGTGAATGTTGCTAGGCAATAACTTATTTTTTGACCATGTTACATAGTTTTGATTCAAAGCTAAACTCATAACTAGTTTTCCCTTTCTTTTCAGCTGAATTAATTTCCATGTGCTTGTTTCCAAGATTATCTCACAATACTTAGGCAATTTCTTAATGTAATGATCTCAGTTGACCACATTGATATGAGGATGCCCCAAGGAATAGGAAAAGGAAAAACAGAAAACAGATGCTATACCGGTTTGGTGTCTATGGTATGCCTGTGTATCAACCCATGAATTAAGATTCAATTCTAGCTTGAAAGGAAAATTTACAGATGGTCACATGGATGGACAGACGAATGGTTACATGAACTGCCAGCTGGATGGACTGACAAACTGATGGACTGACTGACTAATGGACAGACAAGCAGACCAACAGATTGAATGAACTACTGGCTGACTGACTGACTGACTGACTAATTGTACAGCAGACTGACATTCCTTACTTTGATTTTTATAATGAACATAGAGTCTTTCATACCCAAGGGCTGCAGTTCAGCATCACAAATAGTAAAACTGTTGCAGGATATTTTACCAAAAAGGGCAAATAGGTGGTCATCTGAGTATTTATGAAAATCGCCCTCGCCTAAAAAGAGTTTAAGAGCTACCAATATAGCTGAAAAGGCCTCTTTTCTTTGATCATCAAACTTGTCAGAATGAAAGACGAGACTCGAGTAAACAGATCCGACAGAAGAAACAGAAGGTTTAGCAGATTGTTCCTGTTGTGTGATTCTCGCCATGAGTCGTACAAGATCGGTTGGGATATTCGGTGAAATATTCAAAGTGAGTTCGCATTCGGTTTTATGATCCTTCCAAGCGCTCTTCTGGCATTCACGGTTACAATAACGTGCAAATTTACACTTAGAACAACGCTGAAGGTCTTCGCTTTTAGCAAAACAAAAGTCGCAGCACAGACCTCGCACACTGTTACATAAAACGTAGACTAAAGGAGTAGATTCCAGTACTTTATCTCCGGGTGTTAACGATTTTGAGGCTCTTAATCCGCGTCCTTTCTGCTCTCCGGAGTCAAAAATCTCGAAAACCTCTGCACAAAGTTTTGCGTCCGCCATGTTGGAAATTTGAACGCTGAAAGAAATACAGACGGCTCAATAACAAACTACTTCAGGACTCGTATATGACAAATAAACTGCTGTAACGAAATCCGCTGTCTTAAACGTTTGTAGATTCAAACATGGCGGTAAAATCACACTTTTGCACTAGTTGATCTATGAAAATAACTTTGGCTCCAAATCCGAAACAAAAATTCCGTTCATTTCTGTGGAGAATGCTTAAAGTTGGAATTCATGAGAGTTGAAACACTTTTCAAACGGATCTTACCGTTGCCATTTTCAGAAACGAGCGAAAAAAGGCATCTACCTCGTCACATTTCGAGAATCTTATTTCATTCAAAGAAAGGCGATGCTTGTAGAACTTGCACTTATCCTTTACATTTGCCTGTGAAAGATGAAGCTACTTTGTATTTGCATGTAAGTATTGCTTTTATGAATTCTTGTCCTTCTCACGTCAATTCAGTTAATGAATATAGTCTCCAGTAGGTCACTGATTGTAGGTGTAAGTTACTAGGCTCTAGTTATGAAAGAGGGTAAATTACCCAACAAAACCTTGAACTTAGTTTAAATATGATGCATATTATTAAATTACATATACGTAGTTCTTTTAAAAAATATATTCCATGTTATTATTTCAGTGGCCCTACTGCAAGCAGATTTGTTCATTTTGCAACTTCAATAAATACATCAGGTAAGTCAGGTGTACATGTAAAAAAATCAAAATTTTTATTTATTACCTGTTAGGTATGGTAAAATTTTCTTGTTTTTTGATATGATGTTACATTTAGTGTTGATGATACCCGAGTGTGCACACCAATTCTTTATTTAAACGTTCATTTTACTTGCCAGTATCACTGCAGCATTCATACCTGCAACTACAGCATTTTAATTATGCCCATATGGATTCTGAAAGTTTGGTTGTATTGCATGCTGCTAAAAAGCTTTAGATCCACTCAAGCTCTACCATACTGTGTAGACTGGATGGTACTGAAGAAATGTCTCTATGGATTTCCAATTTCCTCAACATATCAGCTTTTGTGAATATGAAAGTGATCTTTGCGATTATAAACACTACTTGAGCAGTAGTGAAAATAAGGCCTGAAAAAAATTCAGGCCTGTATGGGATTTGAACCCATGACCTCTGCAATACTGCTGCAGTGTTCCATAGTGCATCACAGTGGTGATGGGTTAAAATCCTGTACAGGCCTGAAAAAAATTTTCAGGCCTTATTTTCACTACTGCTCATGTAGTGTTTATTACACTGTGAAGATTGCTTTCATACTCAGGTCTTTATCCGCAGTTCAAATAGATGACTGTCATATATTCACAGTAGTATATCAGCTTTTGTTTGGAATTTCTGTGTTTCTCATGGAATAATTTTTATGTGATATCTTTCTTTGAATGATAGATATTACATTGAGTTCCATGTACTCTTTTGTTAGTTGTGTCTCTTTCTTCTCCCAGTCTGATTTTTTTTTGTTCATCAGTTGATTAACCCGGGAAAGACGATATGCTTCTTGAGTATTCCTTACTTGACTTCTCTACAATGTATGGATATCAGTTTGATTGTGTAGTCTAATCCTATGGCCCAAGAGTGACAAAGTTTTCCTTTTTTCTTCTGTGTGCCTTCTCTTTCAGTAAGAATGTGGACCACAATCGCATGAGAAAATGCCTTGTGACTGAAACGGAAACCTTATTGAAGTTGTCTGGTGTGAAAAAGATTAGCTCAGTTTACTTTGGAGGAGGTAAAGTTTTCATTATTTCACTGCAGAATCCATTAATACATGTAACTTTATAGTTCTATAAAGTTATATATGTTTATAGGGAGCAACTACAGCATCAATCAATTACTACATAAAAAGTACATTTTTGAAGCATTCAAGCAAGATACTCAAAGACACCTAAAACTGACCACCCACAGTGCAATAAATGAATAAATCTCCAAATAATGCCCGAAGAATTGGTTTTCATGACAGCGTTCTTGGCTATTTTTCACTTTTCGAGCTTTAAGCTGCTAGGTTCTTTTGTTTTTTTTTTTGTTGTCTGTTTGAATATTTTGTGTCTTCCTTTGGGGCTTTTCATCTTAGGAACACCAAGTTTGGCAGAACCTTCAACAATTTCTTCAGTACTTGAAGCTGTTTCAACCATTTGTTATATGCCTTCTGAGGCAGAGGTGACACTTGAAGCTAACCCCACTTCAGCTGAAACTGAAAAACTCAGGTGAAATGGGCAGAAAATGCATCAAATAATCATTTTTTTACTGTGGTTTTTGTATCCTAGTTTAAAATTTCTTTTCTCCCTCCTGATTTTATCAGGTACATGCCTCACAGACAGTTTGCCAATACCCTAACATTTACACTCTAACTTCCATGTGGAGAAGCACCTTGAAAACATCATGTTTTGCATGATAAGAACATAACATTAAGACTACTTGTGGGAAGTAGTCTTGCATGCTAAATATTGGTCCAGTGTTTCCTTTCTTAAACCTGTGTAAAAACTCAGGTAGTAAAGTGCTCTTAAAAAAGTAAATATTATCAATAATTCAAGTACAGAATGGTAGTTAACTTAACTTAAGGGTTAATCTCTTGCTCTATGATTTTAGTCATTTCCATGCTGCTGGAATTAATCGTCTCTCCCTTGGAATCCAGGTATTGATAACTGAAGTTATAAGTTCTTCCTGAATTTTTAAAGTTTATTTTTTTTTCTTTAGAAAGAGTGAATTGTTAGCTGTATTTTTCTGCAAGCCTGTCGTGTTTCCTTTTTGCTAGGCCTTCAATACAAGAGATTTGCTTCTTTTAGGAAGAGACAATACCATTAGAGATTCATTGAGGTAAGGTAAAATAAAATGAAATGATCAGAAACACCACAATGCAAATAAACCAATGATTATGAAACCTGAGCATTCCCAGTTCTAAACGTTACTTCAAATTTCTTGTAGCTGCTTTCAATTGATATTTTTCCTTGTTATCTAGTTACTGTAGCTGATAAACTAATTATCCTCGTTTTCCTCTTGAAAAGTTTTTTTAACATAAGATTGTAAGTGGTAGTTGGCATACAATAGTGATCTTAATTACTATATATACCTAACTTAATCAATGGAAAAGGGAAGAACTTGAAAATTTTTTGCCAAAATGTCAATGAATGATACAAATTAACAGTTTATAATCAGGGGCTGGTGCATGAACTCTGCAAATAAATGTTTGATTTTCTAGAGCAATACAGGCTGCAAGGTCCATTTTTCCAGGAAAAGTATCGATTGATTTGATGTTTGGACGTCCACAACAAACACTGGAGGATTGGTACAAGGAGTTGTTAAAAGTAAACAGGACATGTGGTCTAAGTTTTTTAAATTATTAGTTATAGTGCCGTCAGTAATAAACTAGTGTTATGCAAGTGCTTAAGTCTAGAATCCAGGGATGAAAATAGAACCCATGATTTTCAGGATGTAGTATGAACAATTGCCTGCAAATTTAATTGGAATCTAACTGCTTGGCAAAGAAAATAATTAAGAGAATCCATGATGGGGGACTGGAGACAAGATGACCACAACTGGGACACATGTATGCATTATCATATTCTTTTGTTTGCTAGAACAAGGAAACTAGCTCCCTGATGTGGTTCCAGGTTGAAGGGAAGTAAAAGGAATAAAAAGTTTGTTATGAGAAACTGGTTCATCTGTTCTCAGCTCAGTTAACAAGTAACAAGTTTGGATTCCTTATAATTGTATTCAAAACCACACTTTTTTTTACGAAACATCATAATATTTAGGATGATATTACAGTTACTTTGTGAATACTGTATTTTCCTGAAATTGAGCACCTACCCCTTGGGCAATAATGGCAAACAATTGCTCCATGTTAGAAAGCACCCTCTCCTCCCTTGCCTCTTGTAATGATAGGGACACAAAGAAAACCTTTTTCTATAATTGCCACTTTATTTATAACTTTTTAAGGTTGAACTGAAGCAGAATCAGTACAGGAGAATAATGAGCCCCTCCCTCAATTAAGCTCCCACTGGATGCACAGTATTATCACATCATTGTCATCATAACCCTTGCTTGCCTTTGACCATTTACCAGGCATTATCTGTGTGTGATGACCACATATCACTGTATCAGCTGACACTGGAAAGAGGCACACCACTCTATAAAAATGTCATCTCTGGAAAACAAGTAAGATTGTTAGCATTCAATACAAAATTAATGTATTTTATTAAATTTGTCTGACTTGAATCTTATTGTGAGTTATTAAAATTACTGGCTACTGTTTGTTTTTTTTAGTCTCTTCCTGATTCTGATTTGGTTGCTGAAATGTATCAGTTGGCAGTGGAGGTAAGGAAAAAAATTGCAATTAGTTAACCTCGTGTTTTGTTTTTTTGAAGTAAATACATGTTTAATTTTGAATTTTAAATATATATTTTTTTGTTCTTTGTTGTTGTCATCATTATCAGACCTTGACTGCAAATGGGTTCCACAGATATGAGGTTGCCAACTTTGCAAAATCAGTAAGTTGAATGATTGTTAGATCATCCAGTTAAGTAATTGTAAATAATCAAACTGTTTTTTTTCTGAATGAAATTTCAATGTTCATTTGGATTATTGAAGGAGGTAAAGTGCATGCAGTATTTATCATTTGTTGTTCCAGGATGCAGAAAGCAGACATAACCTCTCATATTGGACTGGATCACAGTATATTGGAGTGGGACCTGGTGCTCATGGCAGGTGTATACAGGCACTTCAACTAATCAGTTATGGAGTAGTGTAGTTTTAGTAAAGATTGCAATAGAAAACAATACTATTCATAATATTTTCTTTATTTAACTGATGAAAAATAATACTAAAACAATGTGTCTTACTTAAGAAAAAACAATGGTATTATCTTTAAGTCTACTCTCTGGTAGCTCATAGGAAAGAATACATCAAACAAATGTGTAGATAATTTAGCCTGTGTCAATAGAAACAAAAGTCATGAACCCCAAGTGGTGTTCCTTTTTCTTTCCTTTTGTAGATTTATTCCTTCTGGAAATGGTGATGGATTGAGGCAGGCAAGAGTGCAGACATTAGAACCAAACCAGTGGATGAAAGAGGTATTCACTTTCTTTCTAAGTTCTAATAAGTTTTTTCAACAGGTCATGTAAAATATTTGTTGGTACTTCAACACCTGCATGTTTGTTTTAAGGTTGAAACAAGAGGGCATGGAACTAGAAAACAAGTAACACAGACAAAATTTGAAATGTAAGTACTAAACATTTGTTCTGGAAAATATATAATTTTGCCAGTGGGGTCAAGACAGTGGGGTAATAGTTAGTGAATTTGACTCTGTAACAAGAGCTCTGTTAAATTCAAGCCCTGATATAGGTAATTTTTGCTACATTTCTAAGCAAGACACATGACTCATACAATGCCCTCAGTGGAAGGCTTACTCCAAATTTATGTTTTTAGCAGAGGTTAAAAGAAAACCATGAGAAGTGCTGCTAAATCCTGGGTGTGACTTCAAGGGGTATGACTTCCAGAAATACCTGTGACAACCTGTTCAGCACTTACTCAAAGTTCGTTTTAATATGGTGCAGTAATGGAAGTATTTTCTTTGATCTCAGATTAGAAGAAATTCTTATGATGAGTTTGAGGACTGCTGATGGTCTTAGTTCTGAGGTATAAGTTGTTATAATAATAATAATAATAATAATAATAATAATAATAATAATAATAATAATAATAAACCACAATAGATCTAAATCACTGAAAGTACTTGTAAATCAAAGGAGTTTAATACAGGTGGCAAATGTCTGTAGATGCTGAATTTTGCACAGAAACCCAAATGTCTGACTATAGTCAGGAAATTAAAGTATTTCAAGCTCTGGCTGTAAGGGATATGACTGGAGTGCAAGTCTTACTTAACCCTTTAACTCCCAAGACCTGATTGTTAATTCTCCCCATTAGCTGCTACACATTTCCTTGTAAATTGGTTACAAGAATTTGGTGTTCAATCAAGATAATATCTTGTACCTGATAAGTTTGAGTATTCTCATTACCTGTTTGCTAGATAATGTATGAATATTATAGGGAGAAGTTACATGTTAATCACTTCTGGGAGTTAAAGGGTTAACTTTCCTACCAATTGTGGTTCTCTCACTTACGGATGTATGTAAGGTTACTTGTGCTCTAAAACTTTGTGAATGAGAGCCTGCAGGTTTACACCATCGTCAACCACTGAGATCTTCCATAGAATTGTCTTTCTTCTTGTTGATTTGAGTTTAGAATTGTTTTGAACTAAACGACGCTTTGTACTGAATTAACCTCTTTTTTTCTGTTCATGGTGCAGAATTGGAAAATCTTCTCCCCGTTTGGTTTGTCTTTATATGATGCATTCAAAGATAATCAGGACGTCAAAGATCTCATTCAACATGGCCTCCTGTCCTTAACAAAAAGGTATGTAAACTTAAAATAGATAAAGTTTCAAATGTTGTCAAAAGTTATCCCAGAGCACGTTGGTTTTGCTTTACTTCGTTCTATGATTGGTTCAGAAAACGTATCCCAGCCTCCCAACCAATCAGATTCAAAAAAAGCGAATGGCGACTTGGTCACCGCGTTTTCCCGCGCTTAGGGGCATTTTCAGGTATTTTTTGTTCTCATTGGCTCCCAATAATTTTCATCCTTTTTTGTGGCCCGTTTGAGTTTCGGTTTTTTAAAGGCAAGGAAGGATGTGTGTTGATATAACGTATTTTTCCTTTTTCAGAGGCGTCAAAGCTACCCCTAAAGGCCTGTCTGTTGTGGATAGCATAATTTCGAAATTATTACTTCATCTTGATGGAATAAATAGGACTGTTCTAGAATCGGAAACATATTGAAAAAAAGTTAGAAACTTGGAAGCTTATTTGAAAATAAGTTATGGCCAAAAATAATATTCATAGAGGTGACACGGAATACATTTTGAGCTAATTTATGTCGGCGTTTTTTTCCTTTTCTATGGCTGTTTTTCCACAACATCGATAGGTTAAAGAAATAAATTTTAATTAACTTGATCTACATGAAAGAATTCATTTAAGCTCTATTGGTTTTATTTTTCTCTCCTGATTTGGCTCTTGCCTTTCACTGAGACATCAAACAGCAAAACGGTCCCCACACTCCTCCCACACAAGTAGTCGACCTCATCCCCCAGGGGTTTCTCGGTCGACCGGCAGTCGTTCTGAGAAACCCAATCTGTAAACGTCCCCCCCCTCCACCACCCTTAGGTCAGGTAAACGTGTGGTTCCAAGCCAGTGGTATACATCCGACCAAGAATGATGTTGGTGTCAAATAATTTTCTCTCTAAATGCTGTTTTAATGCTCGTTTACAGAAACATTCCTGTGTTTGTTCTGAGTTATGAATTTCATTCAATGAAATCGGTCGATTCGAGTCCTTACCAGAGAAGCCAAGCGCTAAATGTGAAATCAGGAAATGTTTCATCTTGAATTACTGCCTCTTGCCTTGCTCGTGTTAATTTGTTCTTTGGAAGTTTCGACTCAGTCTCTCCACACGATCCGAACATAGCTGAAATGGACGAATGTAATCCAAAATCGAACAAATATCTCGACGATTCGTTAGGGCGAAGAGCGGAATTGTGGTTTGAGTGCACTTTACATACAGAAAGATGGAGCTACGCTATTGGTGGGAACATGGTAAGGTGAAAATCACCAGAGTAAATCAGTTGAATGGAGAGCGTTCGTTGATAACGTTGGGATTAAGAGTGCCGATTTGAAAGGTAGGTTTCTGTTTAAGAGTTTTCCGTCCTTCCGAAGTTCGTGGATGAAAGGAAAGGCCGCAGACTGCCATTTGTTGCTTCGAACGACTGCAGAAATTAAAGCGTCTGGCGACTCAGTTGGCTGCTTCTTTGCCATTTCACCTAAGAGTCACGAATATACAGCCTCAATCATTTCTTCAATGCAAATGCATTCAAACCTTGAATTTCCCTCATTTTTTGTTCAAAATGTTAAAAAAGTTTTCTATTTTTTATATTTTTACAAGAGTATTTTGTTGTGGATAGTGCATATACAACACAGGTGAAAAGTACCTTTTGTGCGTGCTGATTGGCTAGTTCGGGAGTGAATAGCTAGTACTATAGCTCCATGCAAACAGCCGAAGAGAAAAAAAATCGCGCATCAAGAATTTCCGACCATTTGGCAACGCGCGCAAACGCGGAAAATACTCCCAGCACTCTCCCAGCACCCGTTTCCGAAGTTCGTGATGTTCGGGATTTGACGAAACTTCCGAGTACCTACGACTTGTCTCGCTTTGCGACAGAGTGCCAAATTAGGACACGTCCGGAAGATTTATTATTCATGTCGTCGTATGCAAATTTATCAAAATAAACTGTTCTCGCAGAACGGATCCGTAGAAACCAGAGATTGGATCTTTCAAAATCCTCTAAATTCTGGTCCATCTCTCGTTTAAAATGTGTTTTCATATCCTAGTGATTAAGCTTTAAGATTGAAAAATATCTTAACCTTGATTTTGGCGAGTCCTAGCTGCAATTGCGTCCATTGATAGATTCTGGTTGGTGAGGATTCGCTTGCTGTCTCAATCTTACATGACTGCCGAAAGGACTCCATTTTGATTTGATATAATTTTACTTTCGGGTGGAAGAATGGAGTTGCGTGTTGGGAACAAGTATCGCCTTGGGAGGAAGATTGGTAGTGGATCATTTGGAGACATATACCTCGGTAAATATTTTCTTTCTCAAAGCTGTAATCGTTTTTTTTTGGGTATTTTCCTCTACATTGGGGGCTTTATGCGTAAAGTTTCATGTTTACTAGCTTATTATTTTAGCTCAATAAAGTCTCAGGATCTGAGTGGTCTCGACAATAATTTGTTGATTATCGACGTTCGATAGCAAATTTTTATAATTTATTGTTTATGTAAGTAAACCAAGGTTAAACATGAATCTGTTGGTTTTTAAGGGACGAATATTTCAACTGTGGAAGAGGTTGCTATAAAGTTGGAATGTGTCAAAACCAAACATCCGCAACTGCACATAGAAGCGAAGTTTTACAAGATGATGCAAGGAGGAGGTTTGTTGTTTTCCATTTTCAAAGTCCGATAAGTTGGACTATGGCTCCTTACACCTTTCCGTATTCTCTTCACCGGATTACTAAGGAGATCGAAATGATATTTACTACAAAAACTAACGATAGTATAGATAGACGAAAGCTGGACTGTAAAAAGCTACTGTGGAGAGTATGAGAACCTGATCAAGTTCGTTTAGGTTCGAGAGTCCTTAAGTTTAACAAAACCTACTTTTAGGCTGAAATGATTTGTAGGGTTCCACGCATCACCAGGTATTTAGCTCACTCACTGTGGGATGCAACATTCTTGTGGTCAAATTTATGATAAATCTACTTATAGCGAAGAACTTGTAATTCGTGTTTACAATCGAGGGTTGTTATGGCATCCATTTTTCTAATCAGTTAAAAAAAAAAAAAAAAAAAAAAAATGACAAAGTTTACATGAAACCAAAATATTAATCCATATGCTTAATTACACTCCTCTATGCTGCTTTTGCACCAATCACATTGGCACATCAGGATATTTATATCGCACCAATCATATGACAAGATTGGGATATCTCGCTCCAATTACAGTGTTGGGGTATTGTTTTCTTTCCATTGAATTCATGGAGTCAAGAATGACATTAACCAGAAATTGTGGGCCCATTTTGTAATTGTAATGGTCGGCAGTCTTTCTGAGTGCCCAATTGTTTTAGTTAAAGATATGTTGGGATTAGAAAGGGTGGCAGGTAATTTTTTGCATCATTTTTAAGTTAAAACATTGTTTTTTTATGGCTCCTTTACTCGCAATACATCAGACAAAAAACTTACATCCCATCAGGTACTATGACAACAATGCCCAAAATCCAAACAGAACATACCCAATCATTACACTGCATAAGCATTAGGCAATTTTGATTTTATTTCTGTTGGAGGAAGGGCAGTAAGTGTAGTCTCCTTTGCATCTGTTGTTTGGTCATGCATCGTGCTCTCTCTCAAATTGGGGAGAGAGCGCATTGTGTAACAAGACCAAATAACAGCTTTGAAGGAGACTAATGATGCAGTCTATTCTTGCTTACAAGTACTCAGACAACAGAGACGACAGACCACAAAACACCTTTGTGTGAGTTTATTGCAGATAAATTGGAAGGTTTTTCTTTCTTTCTCTTGAGCTAAAGTTATGCTCTTTTTTTTTACCAAAATGAAAACATCAGTTAAACAAAGTGTCGTACTTCAACCCACCCAGCTGGAAAAAAATAACTCTTGCATGGGTAGCATGCTAATGTTTTTTATTTTAAGACATCCAAGGTATCGTGAATTTTTGCAGTGTTTTCTCAGAAATTTGAGGAGTAACTCTGGAATTAAGTCTAGAAAATATGTATGTAGTGTACATTGGTGTACACAGCTACACATGAGAATCTTATCTACAGCTCTGACAATATTTAGTAAACACCATGGATCAAATGGGGTACTGTAAAAAATAAATTTGGGTTCTACTTCTGGTTGGCTGTATCTTCCAAGCAAAAAACTGCAACAGACATTATGTCAAAAACCTCAAAGATCTGTTGCTATAAAGAACCATTGATGTGTGCTGCTATTGGCATAGCATTCTGAGTGATATGTTTGGATAACACTCTGTCTGGTTATAATTATGTTGTGCTCATAACCATATGACAGTTGTCTATGCTAATTCTTGCTATGAAATACATGTGGATGTGGGTAGTGATTGTGCTACTTTTCTGGTGCTAAGGAATCCAAAGAACTTTATCATTTATTCATGATAATAAAGAAATTTTATTCTACATGTTCATGCATGCATGTTATTTTTCTCATTACCATGTGAAGGGTTTACTGTCAAGCAAAACAAATGTTATAAAGGAATCCTATTGTTTAAATGTAAATCACTGTAACTTCTGAGAGATATATTGCAAACTTTTGTTAATAATTCAGGGCTGGCATAATGTAAGGTTTGCAACAAAATACTACAATGCAGGTAACATAAATGTAATACATATGTAGAGCTGAATTATTTTGGTATTGTTGACAGTTGGCATACCTACTATCAAGTGGTGTGGGACAGAAGGTGATTACAATGTGTTAGTGATGGAGCTACTGGGGCCCAGTCTGGAGGATCTTTTCAATTTTTGCAACAGGAAGTTTAGTATAAAAACAGTGCTTCTCTTAGCTGATCAGATGGTAAGTAGTGCCACTCATGTTTTGCAGTTTTTTTGCCAGACAGTGTACATTGTTAAGCTGCAATTTTGTGTGATGTTTTGTGTACACATGTGTTCATTAATATGGTTCTTGTAAAGTAATGAAAGTTTTGAATATTCAACCACCAAATCGGAAGGTTGGAGGTTTGAATTATCCTTAGCTATGGACTTGTATCCTTTACTTTGTTTATTGGACATCTTCCTTTCCTTATTTCTTTCTTTCTCTCTTAACTTTTGTTATTAAAAAATCAGTTTATGTTTTAGATATTTCTCTTGTTGGTTTTACCTAGACTTCCTACTGTTTTTTGTACATTGACAGGTTGATTCTATGGGGTGCAGAATTTCCAGGGTGCAACATGTTGAATTTCCACTGATAGAGTTAGAAAATTAATTTATTTGATCAATTCTGTTTGTTTTAGATCAGCAGAATAGAGTATGTTCATTGTAAAAATTTCATCCACCGGGATATCAAGCCAGACAACTTTTTGATGGGACTTGGAAAGAAGGGGAGTCTTGTGTACATCATTGACTTTGGACTAGCCAAGAAGTACAGAGACCCAAGAACACATCAGCATATACCATACAGAGAAAATAAAAACCTCACTGGAACAGCCAGATATGCCAGTATCAACACTCACTTGGGAATTGGTAGGTTGGAACAAGCATTTCATATTCTGAACATACTTGTCATCAGATAAAGTTGTTGCTTTTTGGTCAGTGATTAAAGAAATTAAGGCTACTTCCTCAGCTTTGAATAATTTGAATTACTCTGTAAAGGGTTGCATTGTCTGTTTCATTCTGTAAGGTGAAAGACTCTCTCTCTCTCTCACTCTAACCAAGAGTTAAGTCGAAGTTTCAGGGAATTGTGAGGGATTTATGAAAATTGCTTGGGTTACAGGCACCCTGTTCACCTGGAATAGAAATACACTTAGTCACAGTAAGTGCTAAGGAAATAGATGTATGTTCTGGTATGGTTGGCCACGAGCTTCACCAAAATCAGCATAACACATCTCTTTACTATATATTTTCCCAATTGTAGAACAAAGCAGAAGAGATGATTTAGAATCACTTGGTTATGTACTGATGTACTTCAACCTGGGTAGCCTTCCATGGCAAGGCCTTAAAGCTGCTACCAAGAAACAAAAATATGAACGGATCAGTGAAAAGAAAATGTCTACGCCCATTGAAATCCTCTGTAAAGGATTTCCATGTAAGTGTTCTTATTATCTTTACAAAGAAGTACAGTAATGATGTCTTCATGACATGTTGCTCAGTTTAAGAAGAAGGAAGGCTATTATTTTGTTATAGATAATTATGTTTGTTCTCATGTTAGACTTAAAGTTGTCACTGTGAAAGAAGTAAAGTAATTATTGCAGTCATTTGACTGTAATGATTTCTCATGATTTTTATGAACAATCACAATTTTACATTAGTGGATCCTTCCTTTATCTGGAAACCAAAATGATTTGTTTGACATATGGAACTAATCACAATGACAAAAACTTCCTTTGTTCTCCACATTTACAGTTATGTTTCACACCTTCGTTTTCTATGTATCATCAGTGATCTTTTCTCATTTGCATTTGATAATGGTGACATGTTGCCAAACATCATATTTTAATAGCATTGCTTTTTATCCTTAAATTTTCATTATCAGTTTTACTGAAAACTAATATTTAAAAAAACCTGTACACTCTTATTATTACTGGGAGAGTTAGAGTCCAATGGTCTGAAGTTGGTCAGATGTTTGTATGGATGAGGGTGTACAAAGTATCCCCATTTTAAACAATATCTGCAAAGATTAACCTTGATGAGATTGTCACAGATGGGTGATAAAAACAACTTGAAAAAAATTATATAAGAAATGGGACCTGAGTGCAGTGACCCCCTTTTGTTATGTTTTTCGTTTAATTTCCTAAGGGTTTGTTTGGTGAAAGGAAACTGTTAAAATCTACTAATTTAAGACCTCTAAAATATTATTTGAACAATTTTTGATTCTGCAGCTGAATTTTCCACTTACCTCAACAACTGTCGGTCACTACGCTTTGATGACAAGCCAGACTACTCTTACCTACGCCAACTTTTCCGCAACCTTTTTCACTGTCAAGGATATGTTTATGACTACATATTTGACTGGAATCTTCTCAAGTTTGTGAGTAATTAGTTTAAAAACTTGTTGTTTCTTTTAACTAAACAACATCCTCCCCTCTCCCTTGATAATATCAGCAACAAAACAAACCAAAAAAAAAAGGGAGCGGAAATGAATAAAAGGAACAGACTTATACAATTAACAATGCTTGCCATTGCTCCGTGCTCGTCGCCTGTCCAACTGTATCAAAACTTCATTATAAGTCAAATATCACTGAATTCTTGACTCTTCTGCCATTAAATTCGTGTGAAGGGGGTTAGGTCCTTAGTTGTTGCTACTTCGGGTGAAGGCTGTGTTTCTCTAATTGGGTTTCCCAAGAGACTGAACAATCTGGGTGGTAATCTTGTGGTGGATTTGGCCTCCATCATCATGTATGATTATAAGTTCTGGGTGAAGTGTTTTGTTGCACAGCTGATTGGAATCAATAGAGCAATGGTTGCAACCAATGACTGCACTCTATAGAGCAGTGGAAATGGAGTCTTACCTTAAGCAAGAGAAACCAAAATTTAAGTACTGGCTGAAGTAGGCTATCATTATTACGCTTTTATCGACTACACTGTCAAAATTAATAAAGTTCAGCTATTTGCATGTGAAGGAAACTTGAACTCTTTTTATTGTATCGTTTTGGAGAGCTTTAAATAGTCAGTTCTGTATTCTGCCTTAGGGAAGTGGTCGGGAGCCAGATGGTGGCGCTGAGAGACCAGTAATGAGAGGAGGAGAAAAGGCGCTAGAGAGGGAACGTGAACCCAGGGAACCAGAACGGAACCATCGAAGCTCCACTACCCGTGCTGTTGCTGGTGGAGCATCTGGTCGGCTCCGAGATCCAATGAGTGGTGCTACTCCCTCCCCAGTTGGTAGGTTTCAGATTTTTACGCACGCGCTCTGTTACCGTTTTCGTTTTCTAAGTAAACTCGTGTAGTTGTATAACACCTCTCTTGATCATGAATACTTTGTTCTCTGCCCCAAAAAGGTGCACAGAGACCAATTTCACGAGCTGAAAGAGAAAGACGGATCACTCGCCTTCATCGCGGGGCCCCAGCTGATGTCCAAGGCGGGGATCTCCCTCGGGGTGACATGTCGCGGATGTCCGGCGCCCACGTTCGCTCGACCCCTGTGATGACCCCAACGTCCTCTGGGACTGGACTGAGACGCGCCAGTGGAACCAGGCAACAGGAAAGGGATCCTGGAATGATGGAACTCTCCACTGTACGTCATTCAACGAAACATTTCACGCGTGCCCCAAAATGACTTGAAAATTCACCGTAATCAACATGTCTTTAGATAAGAGGCTAACATCATTGTGGTCCTGAAGTAGGAATCATCTTGTCGTTATCATTGCTTTAATTCCTGAGAAAGACGTCTTGCGTTTTTGCTCTTAGTGGAATAGTTATGCTGTGTCCGTGATAGTCATGCCAGTGCGTATCAATTAATAGGAGACACTTTTTCTCTCCCTTTTTTTGTAATAACTATTGGTTTGGTGGCCGGAACACCAGCTGTGACTTTATTAAAAATAGTGTAGTGTTATAGTTTATTTAATTCCCATTCAAATGCCAGACACGAATCTTTCAATTGACTGAAAGATACTGATATGCTAGAACTCTTTTTATATCGTGTGACCCAAGTCAACTTCATAAAAATAGAGTGGTGTTTGACCATCGAGCGAAAGATGAGAATGAAAAACAACCACTAGTCAATCTCTTTCACAGCTTTACACTGGTGCAGTGGAATGTGGGTTGGTTTCGTTTCGAAAAAATGACTAACTTCCATTAATCTCCAACCACTCTAAACTATTGTAAAGCTTTACGGTAGTGCGCTGAAGACTACGAATGAATATTGTATAAAGTGTAAAATGAAGAAAGACAAAAGCTTTAAATCTCATTGTGTCAGGTTGTCACTGTCTTGCTTAGAGAGTTAAGAATTAAACGAACTTTGCCTTTAGACAGTTACCGTGATGATTCGATGTAGTGACAGAGGCGCTTATTTACTTTTGGTACCTCAAGAAAGGCGCTTATTCGAAACAGGGTGCTCGTTAGGGACAGGGCGCTCATTTCCTCTTTTGAGGAACGGCAGAAAGTGCGAATTAAAGCTTTGATTTGTATTTAAAAAAGAATAGAAAAGACTGGGAAGCGGACTTGTGTTCCTGGGTCCCTCCTGGCTAGAACGGACTGATGAGCAATCGTCTCGAAATTTTGAAGACGAGATTAATCGTTCGAAGGAACCACGCACTCGGACCTAATGGTTGAGAGACTGAGATGTAGACCATTGTTTCCGAGATGATGCTTTGAGTGAGATAGTAAAGGTAAGATGAACTTCGATTGATATCCAAGAAGATGTTCACTAGTACTGCTAGCACTGAAACAGAATAGGGGCCCTTATTGAAAAGAGAGTGCTTACTCAATAGGGGTGCTTTTCAACAGAGACCAAACTCGAGGACGCGCTTACTGGAACGTGAGCGCTAAGTCGAATCAGTATGGTAGATCCAACATTCGTGGAAAACTCGAAAATGAAGAGCATTTCGATTGACTGTTGTTAATCAGAACAAGCGTAAATATCGAAATTAAACCACGCTAAGTTCCTGAAGCACAGGAAAAGGCGGGTGACCTGCAGGTCGAGTTGGCTTTATTTTTGGATCTGGTTGGTTGAGAGTATGATAACAGTTTTTTAACCACCGGTAATTATTAACCATGGTTTATTAATTTTCCTTGAAACGGAGGTAACGTAGGTGCTACTGGAACACCTTCCCTCTTATTCCTCCTTGTTCAAAGATTCTCTAAATCGAGCTCTTTTTACAAGAACAAATCAAATTAACCGCCTATGTGAGCCGGGTCGATTTCTCTTTATCCCGCTTGTTCAGTGTCCTTTATTATTGTTCAATTTAGAGAAAAAACAAGTTCAAATAGCCTTTGACCGTACGTGCAAGTCCAAAACTTCAGCAAGGATGTTGCGTCAAAAAGAATTAGTGATTCATTGATTGACAATGTTTAAGGAAACCTGCTTGTATGAACCCTATTTCGAAAATTCATTTTCAGTTGAACAGTTAATACGAAACTATTTCCATGAAGGAAAGCAATTTAAGAGTAATAAAGAACAAGGTTCTTAAATAAGCTATGATTATACACATGACTCGTAAACTGTGTTCCTTGTCTCTGTTACAACTCTCCATTCTCTCCTGTGACTACTTCTTGATCGTGAACTTAAGTTCCTGGTGGTTTCGCCGCTTATTTTCCTTTCTAGCATAGGTGCCTTTTGCTTTGCGAATTTTTGGCAAGGTGCGCAGAGAACTGCACGAAAACCCTTGCGAAACTTATTGTTCATGAGACCATAGATAAACGGGTTGCAAGAACTGGAAAGGAAAGTTAAAAACGTGCTCATGGCGTTCAAAATTCGTGGAATCGATTGAATGATGCCAAAACCGTTCATGAGATTAACAATAATGTGTGGGGTCCAACAGGCTACGAAGACACAGACAACCACAAGCAATAATTTTGTTACTTTGAAGTCTTGAAAGGTAGAACGGGTTGCCTTTCTGAAACTTGCAGATATACTATTGATGCTCATTCTTCGGCTGTGACCACGGATAAAACGAAAGATCCGGTAGTAAGGAACTGTAATAAAAATATAAGGCAAAATAAACACTACAATGGCTAAAATAATTGTGTACGGGAAGTGCTCATTTAGGTTGAAATAGCACGTTGATTTACCGACTGTAAAGACATATTTAGACCAATCAAATAAGGGTGGCAGGGCACAGAGAAGCGACAGGATCCACGTTGCCGTGATCATGGCCAAGGTTCGGCGACGTGTAAAAATGGCGGAGAATTTACCGGGCTGCACGATACACCAGTATCTACTAATGCTAACCAAGGCAAGAGACCACAAAGCTTCGAAGAGGAATAACGAGTTAGTGAAACCTGCGATCTGGCATACAAAATCAGTCAATACCCAACGGTTATAAATGACAGTTACCAAGGAAACGGGGATGTTAAAGAGACACATCCCCAGGTCCGCAACGGCTAGATTGCTGATAATCAAATTTGTGACTGTTCGAAGTCGTCGCGTTCTCCGAACCAGATAACATACTAAAAAGTTCCCGGGAATCCCAGTAAGAATAAATAAGCACATCCCGATCCCTTGAATGATCCTTAGCGCCAGGAATTCTCCTTGGTCGTTATCAGAGTTACTCGTGCGATTTAATGGTGGCGTGGAATTAAAATTCGACATGATTTGCTGTATCTGGGTCAAAATGTCTCCACAGTAACACAACTACTATCTTGATAAATGTTACCGCTTGGACGATAACTCAGCAGAATGTTTCAGCAGGTTGTCCTAGTACTCCTTTTTTTTCTTGTTTTATAGCTGTTGAAAAGCAATGTGGTGAAGGAGGAGCTGGAAATATTGTTAGCGATAACCGAGCAATTCTCGCTGGAAAAACAAAGCCGACCTGGCCACAGATATATGAATCTTGACTTTCTGAAAATTCACATAAGAGAAAATGATTTCTCTACCTTTATGAACGTCTTACTACCGAGATGACAGACTTAGATCCGGCAAGAACCAAGCACTTGTTACAGTTCCTCTTTCCCGTCGAGATGAAAGTTGTTCTTTCGTCTATTCGCGCATTTAAAGTCCCTTGATCGCGGAGCAACCCTCTTGCGACGTGTTTTCGCCCACAAAGCCCAGTGGCTAATTTTTCTTTCTCCAAGTGACACAAACAATAGCGAATCAATGCATCGTGTGGCAGCAGATGTTTTTATGAAGTTGCGTTTAAAATCAAACGGTGAACTTCGTTCACCTTCCAGGGGGGATTAATACTCTTTTTTTTTTAGTGACCAGTCCTCAGATCGACGCAGAATGGTACTTAAATCTTTCTCACGGACAATAATCGTAAAAAATTAAACGCAAAGTAGAATCAACACTTCTCATTTGAAGCTTGAAGTTCACATTTGCATTTGCATTAGTTCAATTCCTGTCTCTTTTTCGCCTTGGTTAATGAAAAGACTTATCTATAAACATCTGCCACTGATATTGAATTCCGTTTAGATCGGTAGTATTTGTGATATTCGCCTCTCTAAGCCTTGGCAAGGAAAAAAAACTATGGCTTATTTTGGGGCGTATCAAAAGTTGTCGATATTTCTCTTCCTCACTGAGGTATATAAAAAATTTTCTAGATTTTCCCACCACGGGAAAGCTCGAAAAACATACATACATACATACATACATACATACGTACATGCCCCCATTTTTTTGCGTAAAACTGCATTTACAATAGATTTTAATGTAAAATAAAAATGCAAATTTTATTGGCTGTTAGGGCAAGAGACCATTCATGTTAAAAACCCACGGAGGAAATATTGCAGGAGACATGGAAACTATACCTTTGGTCCAACAATTTTTATATCTTAGACAATTTCAAGAACAAATTCAGAGATTTAATTCAGAGATTTAACCTTATCGACGAATTTTAAGGGCACAAAAATGCATGTAGTGGGTGTTTGTGCGGGAGGGATTTTCTCGGAAGGAAATATATGACAAAAACTAAACACACTAAGGTGGCTGTAAGCCAGCTAGGCCGACGCTAAACCAAACTTGTCCCCTCTTAATTATTTACGAAAAAATCACCTTGAACAAAAATTTGCTCGAAAACAACCTTGACCTTTCCAATTTACGTCTCGTAACAGTTTTACGATTCTGACCATCTTCCTGTGGTTAAAAAAACTGGCAAACTTATTTTTTCCTGACGAGGTAAAACAGATCCGGCTGTAAAACGCATGAAATCAATTTTTCGTTGATTCGAAAAGGTAGACTCAGAATCGGATTGCCCAAGCTTCGTGTGGAAGGATAAAATACCAAAATTTTTCTTCGCCTCGCGATAAAATATCCATATTTACACGTTTAATATGAGCGAATGGTTGAAGAGATGTGTTGTTGTAGACCAGTGTGATAGAGCGCACAGGTTAATCACAACTTTCCTTTGGTTCAAGGGTTAGAAAAGGATAATAGATAGTTCACTCAGCCGAAGGCTCTAATTTTTATCAAGAATAACATTAAATTGATCCGTCATACTCTTAGCAATGACCGCCATCGTCTCAGAACTCTTTTAAATTAAGGCAATCAGTACACCCTCCTCAGTCACAAATTTCCGATAACTGTTGGGTAACTAACCATTACAAGCAATTAAAGAAAAGACGTTAGAAACATACAAAAGTTTTAAAAGGTTTGGTCGTCCATTTTTCTGCAAGAGGCTATCCGTAGGCGAAATACTCGGCAGCTGTTTCTGTCTCTAAGAAGATTTCCATGACATCCTGCTGTCGAGTTTTTCAAGGAAATTGAAAACTGTCACTTATCCCAACCACATTGTGTCAATCATGTTTCTGCGATAAAGACTTGACTTTTCACATGGTATTGCCTTCGCTACGCGATTTTTATGCCTGTCATTCTAAATCGAAATATTTCCAAACAACTCATTATTTCGTAATTCCGAGAAAAGCAAATCGAAAATCTTGGATTATTTTCAAATCTTTACTTTTTTCTGAAAAAAAAATTGCACCTGCATCCTTCCTCCCACTGAAATTGTATCCTTTCAGTTAATAACGCCATAAAGATCAGTCATTTTCTCTCAAAAGATGAGGTTGAAACACGAAACTGATGAACCATCAACTCTAGAGAGTGATTCTTTTTATCACCTTTCAGAAAGCTTTCAGAATGAAAGCTGATTTGCATTGTTAAGTAAGTAATTATCGCGCAAAATGATTGCCGCGTATTATTATGGTAAATGAAGTTTGGAGTTCAAGTGAAAAAGCGGAATTGCTCGGTAAGAGTTAAATGGTCTACGTGACGATGCCAACCAAGGTAGCTTTCGTGCATGGTTTGCGGAAACGAAAATTTTCAGAATTAATTCGGCTTTGAAAGAGTATAATTTACTTCCTCGGGAGGAAATAAATCTGGTCTTATTGTTTCATTTTCAGCCGTTGTATAGTGAGTCGTGATGCTCGTTTGATGTGGCACAGTAAAATGCATCATTCTAAGTAACGGATGGAAATATTGTAAAGTACATTACATTTTGGACTGGCGGGTCTAAAATGCAGGTTACGGGACAAGGGGTTGCGGTATGATGGTCGCACGCTGCTGTTAAATTATTCTTCATTTCAACGATGCAAAAACAAATTACGGTCATCTAGAAACAGGTATATGTGGAAGGTAGGTGTTGATACTGCAAATTACCCCCACGTGGATGAATGCAGGCTGGAAGAGCATCCAAACGCATCCAAAACCCTCCTTGGTTTGAACCCTTGAACTAGGAAATTGTGATGGAAAGAGTGACTTCCGACTGGGTGAGAGGTCTTGTTTGAAATTAAGGGATGAATACCAACTTGTGGTACTCGGAGACATCGTAAGGAATCTTCGGCAACGCTAAAAAGACGAGAAAATTGCCCTCTTTAAATTACACGAGTCATTGCATTTTGTTTTTCCTTTGGAAATTCGGGTAATATAAATATGGAATCACAAGCATTTAACCTACAGAAAAAGTTGACAGGGACAGGACTTTACCCTAAGTTTCGTTTGTAAATGAAAATAGCAAACACGCCAATTTGGTTTGCCTGTGTTTGGTTACCAAATAAGGACAACTGTCAATAACATGTAAGATTACGTGACATCGTGACACTTACCCTTTCAGTCCTGATAGTGACCAAAAAAGAATTTCTTCCCACAATACCTCTTTGTGAGAAATCATTATATTTCACGCAATATCCTCGTAGCTGCAGATATAAGAAAAGTATGGTGGACTCTTCATAATAGAAAGAGGGTGTAGTCTTAGAATACAAGGTAACGAAACACAGAGCAATTTCATTGTCTGCGTCTGACAAATGTGAGATTGATATATGTTTTTGCCGTAACGACCTTTTGCCTTCGGGTTGAGAGTAGTGGGGTAAAATACATTACTATCTGTCAATACTCGTCACTTGATTAATCAAGCTTTTTGAATCTCTCCTTTGACTAAATCATATGGAGGGAAGCTGAACGAGTAATCCTAAAGCTATCTGCTTTGTGCCAAAGCCGATCTAGCTAGTTTGCTATTGATGATCTGTCTGCAATATCCATGTAGAAATATTATGCACCTCCCAAGCCAGTAACGCCGTGCAGGTCAGATTGGCCAGTCCAAAGGCTAAATCCAGTCCAAACACAGTTTCGTCCTCATTGTCGGGCGGAATGTGAATCCTTCTCATCACCAACCGCCGTATTTTCTCTAAAAAACGCCCAACTATTAAATTAAATAGAAATGCTACAAAAACAAGGAAAACTACTAAAGCTACTCTCTTCGTGTAACTCGCACTTTCCACTTGATGTAAAATGTCTGAAATCCGGCTGAACAAAGATGAGTCCATCTTTCGAAAAGGCCAACTTTTAACAGCTGGTTCTCCAATGTTGTTCAAGCGTTCGTGAACCAGCATCGCCAAAAATGACTAGTCGAAAGTTCATTCCTCTAGGGAAATGGGCTAAAAATCATGGATATTGCATTGTGGCTCTGTGACAACATTTTAGCGAGTTATAGGATGGCGTCTGACGGCCCGGTTCGTCCACTTTACTTTACTGAGCCCGCAGTCCAAAACATACTTTATGTATGGAATACGTACTTATCCAGGGCCTAGTTGTTCGAAGGCCAATTAGCGCTAACCCAGGGTTAAATTTTAATCCAGATTTCTCCACTCCTTTGTTCAAAAGCCCTTTAGGAACAATTTTCCCTCTTCTCTTTTGAACATCTAATGATCAAATTGCAAGCAAAAAGATTTGGATTGCATTCAGACCTGAAATGGAATTTCACACTAACCATGGGTTATCTTTACTCAGCTTTGAACAACCCGGGCCAAGGGAATATTTTCAGAAAGGGTTACGAATTACTAAAAACATGGCATTGCATTAGCGCTTTCACTCCTACAAGTGAACATGAAACTTCCCCCTATAAGATCCAAACATTATCAAGCAAAAAGGTAATAACAATACTCAAAATAAGAAAGCTGACTGGAAATCCACAGAAATGTACATACACATTAACCTTTTTTTTTTTGAGTGACAACACCACATGTCTTGGTTATGTTTTTAGCTGTCCATTTTAAAGTTGCACCCTTGGTTGCCAAACCTTTGAACAGGAGTGAGGCAAAGGGTGACCTTGTTATAATACAAACAATGCTGCTTTTTAAATGTAAATAGGCCATTTTCAATTTATTAAAATTCAAACTTGGCTTTGAGAAATATTATGCACCCCCAAGCAAGGTTACCTTCACCCTCACTCTCAAGCAAAGGCTTGGTAACTAAGTACATAACTGTAAAATGGCCTTTTAGAAAGTGCCACCATCTTTAACATTCACAAGTTTGTAATTTCCAAGAAATCACATCAAGGTTGAGAGACAAATAATTTATTTCTTTTGTTTCATTCCCCCTTATCTCAGAGCTATGTCAGAATTTTAACATATCAAAAATGGTCTATTACTTTGTTACCATGCCAACTAGATACTTGTCTCCATCACAACAAGGTCACCTTCAGCCTCACTCCAAATCAAAGGCTTGGCAACTAAGAACACAACTGTAAAATGGCCTTTTGGAAACTGCAGCCACCTTTAACATTCACAAATTTGTTATTCCCAAGCTAGAAAAAGTATAGAACATTACAAACCATCTTATAAACTATCCATCCAACATGTACGACTAACTGTTTATCAAAAATTTTTGTTTGTAAAGAGTTGGTGTGATTAAATTGACTGTATTTCTTTCAATAGAGAGCTGAGACTCCAAGTCACTAAAAATTGTAGTTTGATGCATTTGTTTGGCAAAGTATACTGCACCACCAGTACAACAAAATGAAACTGCAAAATATCCTGCCACTTATCAGGTGATGGAATAAAAAAAGCCTTTTATCACACTTAATATATGCAAAAAATCACTTGGATGCAAGCTTGATGTGATGTCTCCTTTAAGTCTTTTGCGTAAATGACTGTCTTAGATTGGAGCTCTTTATTCTGTTTAGGGAATATTAAGATAAACATGGAATGTGAAAAATAAATTCTTGATAAACACTTGATCACTGATGATTATTTTCTCCATTTTTTTGTTTGTTGTTTGTTTTGTTTTGTTTTTCTAAACTACAAAACACTTTAACTACAATTAAGGAAGCATTCTGCAGTTCCAAATGCCTACTCTATGGTCAGGATTGTTAACTAATAAAATACATTAATTTCACTACGGAAGGTTTCACAAGTAATATTCTTATCCTAGCCCAACATCTAGAGACATCATTACTACAAAACCAACAATAGTTGTACATGAAGCTAACCGTCCATTACCACTGCAAAAAAAAAGTAAAAAATTATTAATTAAACCTTTCTTTTTAAATGATTTATGAATGGTGTCACCATCTCTCTAGCAGTTTACATATTGCATCATCCTACAGTTATGTTGTATTTGGCTTACTGTCATTTGCAAAACAAAATGAAATGAAGGGAAAGAAACAAAATGAAAATCTGTAATTTGCAATTTCTATTTTGCAAATCATTAGTATTTTCCCTTTTGCAAATTACCGATTTTCATTTCATTACCTTTCATTCTGTTTCGTTTTGCAAATTACAGTAAGCCTTGTATTTCTACAAGTCTTTTAGATAAATTCTCTCATGTAGTGTTAAGTTAATACATAAACCTACAAAGCTTCAATCAGTTGCAAATTAAAGTATGGAGCTGACTACAAACTTTCCAATTTTTACAGAGTGAGAAATATATTCTGGGCAAAAAGAACTGGTACTTGTGGAAATTAAAAACTTTTCAGTATCACATAAGATATAAAGAACCACTCTTGTCAAACCTTGTCTGGGCCTCTGGTATGATATCATCAACTACAACATACACCATTGCACCAGCTGCAAATGCCAAAGCATATGGCAACAAGGGCTCAGCAACCTAGAGTATAATAAATAAGTCACACTGTTACACATAAATGAGAGCAATATTTTAGCTTCATGTAAGCAAAGCACTGTCAATAACTGCAAACCCTATATAAAGTAGCATTGCACATGATGTAGATAATGTTGACACAAAAGAACAAGGCCTGAACCAAATTTGTTACTAGTTTAGACATTTTGAAAAATTTGGTGGAAAAATATTTTAGGTTTGTCATTTTAAATTTCTGTCTCCCTTTAATGCCATCTTTTAAACTCCTAGTTTATTAGGAGATGAACTTTGTTCATTTGTCTCATGACAGAGTCACTTTTGATATTGATCGCAACATTTCGATTTCCCCCGTCTGCCTGTTCCTCAAACTTTTCCATGTAGATGTTAGCTATAACTGTGGAAACATGGCTTCCCATAGCTGCTCCGTTTTTAGGTTTGCAAGTAACATTTGCTATTGCCTGTTCCTCAGATTATTCCATGTAGATGTTAGCTATAACCACATAAACAGGGCTACCCATAGCTGCTCTGTCTTGCTGTTCATAAATCAACCTGTTGTATTTTAGTTTATTTTTTGGGGTTTGTTCACCATTGCAAACTAACTATTTTGAGCTATTCTCTCACTGAAAGAAACTTTTCTGTGTCAGCAAAACAACCCAAATATGGTTGGATACATACTGATAGTTTCTTGAAAAATGGCACCAGTACTCACCACAACTGCAAGAGCACCAAAAAGTCCAGCTAATGGTTCTACCATTCCACTTAGCTGACCATACCTCAAATAAAAATTAAATGAATGTTATTTTATGACAAAGCAAAGCAGGTGAGGAAAGTTCAATAATCAAATGTAAACATGCTTAGCTACAGAAATAAGAGACAATTATTGTTAAAGTTATTAACATGAGTGACTGCTGTGGGCATTGGAATAATGAAACTGTGATTTGGAAGAGATTTTGTTATCAACAATTCTCCCCACTGACTGGATTTACATTTCCATGTAAATTAGACCACAGATTATTTGGTTTCAGTTCAAGTTGGCTCCCTCTAGCTAATAGGCTAAGAAAAAGAAATTACATATAACATGTGTTATTCACTTGTAAGAGTTAAAGGTTTAAGCCAGCCACGATAAATGTTCAGACTTTAAAGTTGTACCTAAAGTCATGCAAGAAATTGATGATAATCAGAAACATACACTTACCAAAAGCTCTTCCATGAGGAAAATCCTGCCCCTCGAAGTGGGAGACTAACAGCCAGTCCTTCTGGAAAGTTCTGAATTCCAATGCCTATTGCTAAATTCCTGGATATAGTATGCAACAGACGAGTAGTTGAGTTCTCAAAAGAAGAAAATTTAAGAGGAACCTCTTATTGACTTACATTTTGAATAATAAAGTTTATTAAAATCTTTATGTACCTTGCATTTTCAAAGGTTGCAGCAGCTGTTTTTCCTATGGCACCAAACCCTACTCCAACAGCCAGACCCTCTGCAAAAAAGTATAATTTCAACATTCAAAAGAAACTTTTTGGCCACCTCTAGAGCTGCCCTAAGAATAATCATCATCCTTTTCAGTTGAAAATAGTGTCATGATCAAAGTTTGTCTGCCATATTTACAATTTTAAAAATCGATTGTACTGTAGTGATGTCAAGAAATGTCATTTTTTGCAGTTTTTCAGAAGTGACTACCCTTGAGAGAAGGCAACATGTACCACTAGATCAAAAAAACGCTACATACTTGTAATTTTCTGCCCAAAAGGTAACTAAAATCCTGTGTTATGGAGTTGCATGCCTGGATTTTCCTCCTTGGCCATCAATTCTCTATGTTATAATTATATTATTGGGTGTTCTCTTCAAAATGTTACCTGGAATATTATGAACAGTAATTGCTATGATCAATAATAAAATTCTCCTCCAGCTGGCCTTTTGCTCTTTTGATATCTGTCCTTCATGATCAATGTCTTTATTACAAGAATCATGTAAATATTCCTTCTTTCTTTGTGTAAGCTGTGATGTATCTCTGTTGTGTGACAAGTTGTGGATGGAGATTTCTGTGTGATGGATGTTATCCTTTGATTCCTTCTCTTTGCATGCATTACCATTCTGAAAATCACCAGTAAGGGCCTCAGCAAAATTAGATGATTCCACACCCTTAGAAAAAGAAAATTATGGCAAATTAAAAATTGATGCAAACAGGAGAATGATGCTAAAATAGAGTTGTGTTCACAACTAAATCAATAAAATACAAGTATCTATTTACTGCGATATAATTACCAGAAGTGGCATAAGCTTGTCTGCCCCATATACAAATACTGCTCCAAGAATGAACCCTATAGATACTGGAACAAAGGCAAACTTGCCACCTTCTCCATAACTTCCTGAAGTTTCTGCCATTTCTATGGCTGGGGCTAATAAGGACCAATATGAAGCTGCTAGCATGACCTACATTGAAACAATCAAAGATATTAGAGATATCATGCACAAAATACATAAACTTGGGATAGCCAAAATGAAGGTTGCAGTGAAACTCAAAACGTTGAGCCCTGGAAATAACTATTGAATGTGACTACGATTTCACTGTCACATCATAAATTCTTAAAATCTGATTAACCTCTGCAATTTATTGGTGTGCTTAGATGTACCAAAAGATATGATTGGAAAGAAATTACACCAATTATTATCTAACCAATGGCCAAGACTAATGAATCAAAACAAAATAAATGTACTCATATCATAACATCATTTCTAATATCAGAAGAATTTAACAGGGCTGAGATATGTTTAATTTTAAAATTTGGGAGATCTGTTTACGCGTTCTGATGTTAATCTAAGATAAACACGTCATTAAAAACGATTATGGTTAAAATATCGTAATTTCACAATCTCTATCTTACCCCCGCGGCAAATCCCAGGCTAGCATCGAGAACCTTTCTCTGAAATAGTAAAAATAAATTTATCATTAAGCTCGCGATTGACATAAATGCGAAAGATCAGCTGAAAGTTACAGCTTCGAGCCATGTAGAGGGACACAGAAACCTTATCCTACCTGTCCGCTGTTAAAAACGAAGACGAGAGCAGATCCAAGAGCTGTTACTCCCCATGTAAACAACGTCCCTAAAAGAGCCTGAACGACAGGATTAGAGTTTGGGATCATCAGAAACTACTTCGCTGTCCAAAATGGGGATATTTGACTGAAGACCCGGCACTCTCAAAATTTCAATGAAATTGGACTGCGGCTGTTCATAAGAAATAAACCACTGTCGGTGTATGCTAATTTTGAAGGTCCACGTGTCAGATAAGGACATGGTCGAAGAATTTCGCGAAGGTCACTAGAATAACAGTTTAAACTTCTATGTTGGTGGACACTGTGCGATCGTTTAACCTGACTGAACTAAACTGAGCTATAAAATACAGAGCCAAACCCAGTATAAAAGCCTGTTAGTGTCAAATCCCTTTTAAAACGGTTTCTAATATTGAAAAATGCCAAAAGCTCTCAAGACATGCACTGGTGGTTCAGTGGTAGAATTCTCGCCTGCCACGCGGGAGGCCCGGGTTCGATTCCCGGCCAGTGCACGATAATTTTACTCTTTTATCTTTACATTCTCGAGTATTAAGGTGACAAATATTTCTGAATATTCATTTCAATAAAGCACTCTTCTTTGACCTGTCCATTCGTCAGTTTGTCCTTTTGTCTTTCTGATGATTGTGATACAATAGGATTATGATGGTATTTAATACTTGTATTCTGAGACTTTCTTGAAATTGATCACATGATTTATTTATCAATATATTACTAAATGGTGTTGTACTGAGAGATGGAGACAAAATGTTGCCAAAAATACTGATTATAAATTTAAATGTGCACAATATGTATATGAATTATCAACACACTATCTAGCTAACTAGCAGACTAAGTTAGTTCATATCTGCAATTCGTCAATCATTTGAAGAGTATTTGCCTCCCCTCCTCCTCCTCATCATATTCCCATCACTTTTTAAATACAGATAAGTTAGTCTACATTTGTACCTTTTTTCACAAAATAATTTGATTTAGATGTTGGTGTGACAAAAAAAGTCAAATTTGTAAACAAATGTTTGGTAGATAAAAAAGTTGCTGCCTGCCGGGGTTAAAAGAGTTATCAAAAACACAGTATATATGATAGTCTAAATACATGCCCATAGTAGCAATAATGTAAATACAAAACTTATTTAAATAGCTAAACAGCTTCCTAAATAATGTATTTCCACTATTATATTATAACTAAAGTAATCAATACTTTATCAAAAACTATACAACATAGTTTAAGATGATTTCTTCTTGGCCTCTTGGTCAATAGTATGCTTTTTTGGAATAAAAAAAGGAATAACAATAAATGCCGCCATCACAATGTGTCCAACAAAGTACATGCTCTTCCATGCTTCCAGGCATGGAGCAAGTTGAATCAACATAAATCCACAGCCAAGATACTCCATGCTACGGTAATGAAAAAACCAACTCAGCCAATCATACCAGTAGCAAAGCTCTGGCGACAGGTACGGCTTGATAGCTTTAGACATTTGAACTTCAGCAATAACTGTCAGTGGAACACACAAAAAGGTCAGGTAATAACCTGGGGCCACACCATGCCAGAAGGCACTGACAAGAAGAGTGGTGAACATTCTGAAATAAAGTAGGTAACAATTATATTCAAAGTTCACATCATACATTGTTGTATCTAAAGAGGGCCTTCTTTTGAATGGAAGGGGACTTGTTCAAGAGGGTTGGTAAGGGAGGTTTAGATAAGGAGGGGGGGGAGTTATTAGAGAGGGTTAATATAATAATAATAATAAAAACAACTTTATTTAAGGAGGGTAACACACAACAGTAATTCAACTGATGAAGTAGTGGCCCTTGATCCTAAAAATACCATAACAGAATTAAAATGCATTTGAGGATTTTTAAACTGGTCAACAGGTCTATAAGAATATAAGCTAAAAACTAGATAAAATAAAATATGCTGCTTGGGTCAGGTTAAATTGCATTTAGAGTGAAATGCTCTACTTCATCATATCTCGTTAGAAAATGTCTGTGAAGGGCCTTTCTGAAAGAAGCAACTATTTTCGCCTCTTTTTTTAGGTTCATGGGTAGGTAGTTAGTTCCACAGTCTTGTTACAGATATGCTAAAGGTCCTACCTCCCTCTGTTTTGTGATTGAAATGAGGGAAGGCAAAATTTAATTTACTATAACAACCAGTTAGTGTGTGTAGGTCTGCATTAAATTTGGAAAGTTTATAGGAGAGGGTGGGTACCCATACAAATGGAGTGGGGCTCATTAAAACTCAGTAAGAGCCCCCTGTATGAGTGACATCTAATAACATGTACATGAATTGAATGAAATTTATGCGAACGCACTTCTCTGGTTGAAAACCTTACAGAGTTTAACTCGCAAACTAAATGAAGCTTTCAAATATCAGCATGTTAAGTTCTAAAATGCTGCTATGCCAAAATGAATAATCATACTACTGTAAACCTATCTGCAAATTATTACAACATTGTTGCAATTTTGTCTGGCATTTTTAAAATAATCAATTATAATATTTTATTTGTGAAGCACCATTTCCAGTGGTGTTCAATTGCACCATACAATGTAAATTATGTAAATTCAATTGAATTATGATGCATTGAAGACAAAAATTACATTTAGAAGCTTTAAGAAAATGTCCAAAACTTAAAATGTCTAATAAGTAAAAAGTCTAAATGAAATAAAACATCAAATTCTATGAAAAACATTTTCCTATGATTGTATAATTGTAGAGTTTTTGTTTAGGGAAAGGGAAAAAGGGAACACTAAAAAAGATACTTATTAGGGAAAGGAGCTTATTACAGCATACGTGTGAGCCAAAAAAATCAATTTTTTGTCAATACATTAATATTAAAGTAGAGACCGATAACAATTACTTGTTAACAGACAAATTAAAATTTCTGATGTTTATCTATCACTAAGCACCACAATAGGAATTTGTTACTGTGCCCTGCACATGACTGTTAATAGTCTTTTATATTTATGTGATTTTCATTATTTTCAGTATTTTGTAATTGCATGTGTGCATTGTAAACAAGTATGCTGAATGCTCCTAGGCGCTATGTGGATAAATAAACTGTCTATCTATCCATCTATCTAGGACTTGCATTACCTTAAATTTTTGTTTTTAAAAGGAGTTTTCCTGTGTATGTAAGTTGCAATCCACCATTGAACAGTCATGTTCCAATTCTTCATTGTATTTCCCATAGTAGGTGAAAACTCCACCTCAAAAATGTTTATGTTGTGGATTGTCTCAAAGCTGTAACAAAAGGGAAAAAAGCAACACAGGATGACTTAAACAAGATATTTTGGAAAATAATTGATAATGATGAACTAATTCAAAGGAATTATTCTTGAAATATCTTAATCTAATAAGCCTAAAAAAAGGTTAGGGATAGATGGGAATTTATTTCAAAACCAAGTAATTTGCATTTGAGAATTCTAGAATTTTGGATCTCTGGAATGGAATAATTAAGATGGCTCAAGTTTTGAGATAACCACTGCATTTAATATAAATGTACCTGTGTGTGTCTTGATTACATTCTTTGTTTTGCTCAGGAGTGGTCTGATTAATGGTTCCATTTTTTTCTGTATTAGGTTCACTCTGTTCTGGAACTGCTTTGGTAGGCCCTAACCCAGGCTTTGGTTCTGTTTCAAATGGATATGCTCCCAAACCAAGAGTCATACAGCAACTTTCAGCAAGGAGCCAGCCTATGTAAAAGCGCCAGCGAAACCCATTAAAGGTTGGGACAAGATAAGCCAGTTGGTACAACACCCCCCAAGGATGACTGGTGTATTCTGGAGTCCCAATATGACTGATTGGAAAGTAATGGTTTAAAATAAGGTATATCACACCATAGAAGGGTAATGTCTGAAGATTTCTGATGGCAGGGATGACGGTGGAAATCTTCTCAGGATGTTGTTGGTTAATCATGTCCTTGAAAGTCTTGTAGCGATAGTAAGGACCAGTGGTGAGTCCACAATAACAGTAGGAGTAACTAAGGAACTCATAAAAGGATGGTCGCTTTGACTTTTTAGATTCTCCTTCACTGGTTTCTTCTTCAGACTCAAATATTTCAAATGGCAGTGTACAACACTGAAAAGGGAGAAAAAATTGTGAATTCATAAGGCCTATTTACACGGCACGACTTTGTCGCATGCGACAAGCTTACGACAGGCCTACGACATGACTTAAGAGTCGTAAGCGAGTTGTAGGTTTGATTTACACGAAACAATTCGTGTCGTAAGCCTGTCGTAGGCTTGTCGCATGCGACAAAGTCGTACCGTGTAAATAGGCCCATAAATGCATGAATTACTTCAATTTTCAGTTGAGCGAGATGTGACAAAAATTTGGCAACTGCGCCTTTGTGTGTTTTTACAGTTGGTAATCGATGCACAGCTCTTGACATTTGGTTACTATTGGAGGTGAGAGAGGTTGCCTGTTACAACACTATTATCTCAACATTCAAAACTCCATTACCAAACTTTTTCCAAACCTCACTCAACTGATAATTGTGGTAAGCTGTGAAATTAAAAGATGTGGAATATGAGTGAAATGTTATTGATTCATATTATTGATTAATTATACAGAATCAAGAGCTGGTTTAATATTATACAAAATTATTATGAGTAAATGATTTTATGTTTCTGTCAATTTCAATTAAATTCAGGTTTAAAATAAACACAAACAAAAAGCAAGGCAAAGCAGGAAATCCAGACCCCACAAGGTAGCCTCATCATGCTTGTTCTGGTGGTCAATTGCATATGGAATTTACTTCACGTTTGGCTCTGGTAGAACTTACTAAACAATCAATATAGCTTACATTACAAACTCACCCTCAAGGTCACCAACAGCTGAATAGCATTGCTGTGTTCTGGTGGCTTTTCAAATCCAAAATACTTGCATGTGCGGAAGAAAAAAAGATAGCCGAACACAAACAGGAAAGCTACCCACTCACATCGCCTGCAAAATAACATTGTAAAAGAATATTTCACTCCTTCCATCCAGAAAACCTCGCAAATAGTGGGTTGATAACAAGAAGTTACCAAATGGAGATGTTACTGATCAAATAGCCATGAATTATACGGGTAATCGATTCTCATCAACAATTTCACCGCACAATTGTTTCAGAGAATTGTGCTGTCACGACATACCCACTAACGAGTGATTGTTTTCACTCACTGTTTCAAAAGGTCGAGGGGTGATAAGCAAACAAACCATTTTTAACGCCTTCATGCTTAGCTGTTGTTGAACTGACAAGATGATTTGTTTAAAACTATCAAGAACAGCAGGGGTACAATAGGACACGATGCATGCTTGCACACGTTGATTTCTCAACAATGGCGAATTCATTCGACACATGTTAAGGACAAGCAATCTTACCTTGGACCAAGAGAAATAACTATCACATACGTGCCTAGAATTGTCCAAAAGGAGTGAAGAATTCCCCAAACTCCGACAAGCGCGAGTGACAAGCATACACCAGCAACGGTGGAAAGGAATTGCTTTCGTGAAGGAGAACCTGATAATTTGACCAAATGGCCGAATGGAATAGATCCTAATAGCATACAGAGATAAAGTAAGTCTGTAGTGGACATGGTGTTCCCCCACACGCGGTGTATATTAGTTTGTCAGACCGTAAAATCAATTTTCTAAGCAAGAGATCCCACCGCTCGAGTGATATTCGGTACAAAAGCATGTCAAATGTCAGCCCACCTAATGAGGAGTAGAACCTGGGAACTACGGTGGCTCACAATATTCACGGCCAAAGAAATAACTTCGCGGCGAAAACAAACGGCAAAAGGAAAAGATTCACGGCAAAAGGAAAAACCTCACGGCAAAAGAAAAAACCTCACGGCAAAGAGAAAAGACTCACGGCAAAAAAAAAACCTCACGGCAAAAGTAAAAGACTCATGGCTAAAGAAATAACCTCACGGCAAAAGAAATAACAATGTCCTCACGGCATTAAAGAGAGCCGTGAAGGCTGGGAGGTTTTTTCTTTTGCCATGAGTCTTTTTCTTTTTTCCGCGAGGTTTTTTATTTTGCTGTGAGCCTTTTCCTTTTTGCCGTGAAGTTCTTCCTTTTTGCCGTGAGTCTCTTTCTTTTGCCGCGAGGTTATTTCTTTTGCCGTGACAGTTGTGGGCCACCGTAGGGAACAACTTTTTACCCGGCCGGGGGTTCAAGTATAGGAAACGCTGTGATAAAAAATTGTTAAGTCCTTAAAGCGTGCAGATACTTTCGCATATAGTCAAGTTCCCATGTAAGATCGGCCGCAAATAAACAAATGGGGAAAAAGAATAAACCCTCAGAGAAGTTATGGCTGTTATTGATTTGTCTGGCATTTTGCCTCAGTCTTTTGATAGATGCGCATGAACGCCATATTGTAAGCTAGGTCCATGGTCCAATGGGGCGTTCAGATCAACATTATTTAGTTTTTGTGGTGCCCATGTTGAAGGCTACGGCCACTTTGATATAATGAAGCCTCATATGTCAAGTTGTCTCAATGAAAGAAATCAGAGAAGTTTCTGTGATAAACAAAGCAGAGAGGCGTTTTCTTAAATATATCACTGAGCATGATAACAAATTAGAAAAAAAAAATGTGGCAAGTTTTTCGTGAGCTATTTAACGAAACAGCCTCGTTATTCTCCAAATCAACCGCTCTCTTCTTTTCCTGATTGAATCCACAAAAAAGAGCGGGAAGGCCTCTAAAATCTCTCTAAAAAACCAATTCTAGCTCATGTTTTGGAAGAAAATTGTAATGGATTTTCCAGTTTAATTAAAAAACTATAATTTCCATAGCAGGTAATTTAGTGTTAACAACTGGGTTGAAAACGTTAATTAGCCACCGTAAAGAGTAAAAAAGCTGACGTTTCGAGCGTTAGCCCTTCGCCAATCGCTCTGACGAAGGGCTAACGCTCGAAACGTCAGCTTTTTTACTCTTTACGGTGGCTAATTAACGTTTTCAACCCAGTTGTTAACACTAAATTACCTGCTATACTCTCCCACCGACGCAGCACCACAGTTTCTTTAGAAACTTACCCCTTCATTCATTTATAATTTCCATAAACCCTCCCACGGTGGGATTTTGACCTATATCACTACTTTTACATGCAGTGTACCTCTGTGTGAAGAAGTTTTGGCTGCGCAAAATAAAGTTTTTAAGTTACTGCGTGTGTTCAAAATTCTCCTAGTAAAAGTATACATTTTTAATAAAAAGAAAGATTCCGCCTCGTCGTTTTCGAATCATGGAGACATTCTTACAAATATGATCGTACCTTCGCATGCGTCGAGACAAAAAAAAAACCTACAGGTGATTTGATAATTGCCTTTCATCAAAGGTTTCCATTCGTTGTTTTCCCGGCCTGGCAGCAGTCGTTCGTAAAATGGAAACCATCCTAAAGTTATTATGGCTGACGGTCAATTTGAAGTGCATGAGTTTTTACTACCCATGCATTTGATAGCTAATCGTGCATGGTGCAAAATATTTATATATAATATCAGATTTAGAAATCTGGCCAGAATTCCCCAAAGAAAATACGTCTTCTCTCAGTTTCTTGCCTGAGTTGAATTCTTATTCAAATTAAGTGATCATTTTCAGCTGTCTGCTTTAATTTTAATATATTCAGTTACCGGCTTATCGTTCTGTTCTGCATATTCTTATTTACTAACAATACCCCTGTTATCATCGCCTTGATGCATGATCAAGCGAATAACGCCATTCTTCCGGTCGTACAGAACCAAATAATTCTCCATCCTATGCGTACGTCACCGACTGAACGAGTTCTTAAACTTGAGATATTTGCAGTTAAAAAATTCGTCAAGAGATTGTTTTACTTGTACTATGCGCCGAGTAGCAACTAAATAACCTGAGGAAAGCAGATCTGAAGCTGATGTTCATATATCTGGGCTGAAATAAGCGATATTTCGTCAACAAGTAAGTCTAGCGATCAAGTTTTAAGTGTAGAAATTTTCTTCAGCGCGTTCTAAATTTATAAATGTTTCGATTTTCGACCTTTTGCAGGTCATAAAAAAAACTTTGCATTTGCCGAGGTATTATATAGAGTTTTCATAATTTGATCATTCAGTAAACAATTCGGTTGCACCATCAAAACAGTTTGTACGTCAGGCTGATATATGAAGCCCATGTACGTCACTTATGATGATCTATGCTGTTTCACGCCGACAGATTTACAGAGGAATATGGTCCTTAAGTAGAAAAACACGTTCACAAAATGGAATTCTGTTTCCTTTTTTTCCACTGCTTAAAATTCATGTTTTGAAATGTGAGATCATTTTTTGGATTAAACTGTTACAAGCAACCAGATATCGAAGCTCTATTTTTGTTTTGACCGCTGATACAAGCAGAGTAGACAAATCCAAAGAATCTCATTACGTTAGCTATTTGTATTGAGTTCTGTACTGTTCCCTGAGAATAAAGATAACTTTGCATTTAAGTTAGCACGATTATGATTCGGAGAATTATTTGTTCTGAAACAGATCTGCAAGTCAAAAGCTAATTCCTCGTGCACAGTTTATTTATAAAGATCATCCAATGTGGTTTTCTAAGTCAACAAGCGAAAACATCGTTAGCAAAAAATATCACTCTACTCGTATAAGTTGAGGCAAGAAAGTATATATGATATTTTAACACTTCTTGAAAGAGTGATAATTTTGATAACTAAGTATGTTTTTTTTTTATTTTCACGCCAAATTTTGTTCCTTTACACAAAGTTTATGTTTGCCAGTTAAAATTGTATCATAAGGTTCGCTGTCTTTTCGACTGTCACTGCCTCAGCTGGAAGGGGACATGAATGTTTTATGATGGAAATAGTTCTTTCCGTGTCGTTAATTAAACAGTCGCACAGAGCGGACTGCTTTCTTGTCTTCGCCCTGACAAGTTTAAAGCTAGATTATGCAAATTCACATCCTCTAAGTTTTTGGAACAGGTGGACTGAAAGTAACCGAAGTCCGTTGTAAGTCTCTTTCTTCCCCATTTACTAAGCGCAAAGTTAGCTATTAAAAACATAATTTTTGGAAGAATTGTTCTCTGACTCAATGCTCCGGGCAAAAGGAGAGGAAGATAAATCCTTGAAAACGTGAAGAAAGGATGGACTCTTAAGTTTTGAAAAGATGTGGCCTAGTTGAACATAAAACAGTAAAACAGATCGCGTACATCGCTTGCCGGAGAGTTCTTCTTTAATAAACAACGCTAAACAATAGAGATTAACCGATTAACTTTAGAAAACCGGCGAACTTTAAGCCAAGCACTTTGTTGTTGTTGTTTTTTTTCTCAGAGAAGAAGAACCTAACGTCTAGAATGGGTCAGGTTTATCAATTTATGACATCGTGAACCGTGTTTTCATGGATAGATCAGGTGTATTTAGGACGTTTTGACTGCAGATGCATTTGTAGCTTGCGAGACTAGAGACAGCAATATTTACCAATCTTTCATTGTGTTTGGCTACTATTTTAAGCTTGCTGTCCGTAAAAGAGAAAGAAGGAAAACAGAACATGCCTCTCAGAAGGCGTTTGTATGCCGAAGGCTCGGCTGTCATGAAAAGCAATCTGCAGGTGTTATCTTAAAATGAGAACGATTGTACATGCTTAATTATGCTGATATTCTTGGCTTTTTCCCCCTCACTGAAAACAAAAAGTTTTCATGTCTCCCATAAGGGTCTCTTACTGTCTTCTTGCCTTTCTGGTGGAACTGCAGGTCACGTGAAACCTCAAACGTGTACAGAGCACAAAGGTATACCCAATATTCAGTGAAAAATTATATCAGTTAATTAGACTTAACCTTAGCGATGGAGAGTATAAAACTTTCATCAGTCAAAATTATAGTGAGCAGAGGATCATAAATATTTTACTAAGGTTAAGCAGAAAATCGTAAGAGGCATTTGAACGCAGTGAAAACTCCCTGACTTCCAAATAACATGAAAATGCAGTAGGATTCTTCAAAAAAATTACTCAATTTAAGCTGCAGCTTTACGCTCGCTGATTGGTGCCTTTAAAATTTTAATTAAATTGAGTTGTAAGGTATGGCGTATTTCACGAAGGTGTGCATCCCTTTGTTAGAGCATTAATTTTATAATTTTAACTAGTTCTCACGGGCATGAAAACTCCTTAATATTTCTTTTTGGCTTCAGAACTCGAAAACAGTTCAATTCTTCCTTGCCTGATAATAGTCTTGTTAAAACTTTTTCAGTTCCAGTCTTCCCTATATTCCAGTTATATCGTTTTGAGATTACTACATAAAACACTGTTTTATCTTTAAGGTAATGTTCCTCAGCTAAAATAACTATAAAGAGCCTGACATGCGCCATGTTTTGAAGTATATGTCAGGTAAACTAATAATCCTCGTGGATATTGATCATAAACGTTTGGTAAAAAATTAATCGGGGCAAGGAGTTTTTTTTTCTCTGTTACACACACGCTAATGATGTTCATTTCAATTTTCTCCCGGCTCTTTACCGATCTGTTTAGTTTTGAATTATGTTTAAATCCCTGATAAGCTCTTCAATGCTGACCGTACAAAACTAGAAAACTTGAACCTCAAATGAAATTTTCAAGTTTCCAACTGAAAAAAACGCAAATGGGAAGTCTCAATTTAATATAATAGGTTTGGAATATTAACCGCAATTATAGTCAGCTTTTAACAGCCAGGCCTCCCTTCGTTCAGATATGAAGACAAGCTTTGTATTTACAATCATAATTACCATTAGTT